ATGAGATATCAAAGATATTGTCTGATGATTTCTGCATTCCCTTGGGCTACCTCTCTTTGGAATGGGCACAAGTACAGGCCTCTTCCAATCAGTCGACCAGATAGTTGTCTTCAAATTTTCTTGGCATAGATGAGTGAGTACCTCCAGTGCCACCTCACTTTCTTGAAAGATTTCAATTTTTATTCCATCAATTCCTGGAGTCCTCTTCTTTGCCAATTCCTTTCAATGCACCTTGGAATTCTTCCTTCAGGTTCATTGGCTCTTGATCATTTGCTGCCTCTTAAAATGGTTGAACATCAACCATTTCCTTTTAGTACAGTGACTCTGTGTCTTCCTTCCATCTTCTCTTGATGTATTCTGCATCATTCAATAATTTGCCTAGAGAATCCTTCAATAACAAAAGTCAAGGATTGAATTTTTTCTTCAGTTCCCCCAGCTTGAGAAGTTTTCTTCCCTTTTGGTTTTCTGACTCCAGATCTTTGCACATTTCACTGTAATATCTGACTTTGTTTTCTAGAGCTGACGTTTGAAATTTTCTGTTCAGCTCTTGGACCTCCTCATTTCTTCTATTTGCTTTAACATCTCTGCTGGAGAGCAAGTTTCAGTGTCTCTTCTGACATCCATTTTGATCTTTTCCTTCTTTCTTTTCTTCTTAATGACTTTTTGCTTTTTTCCTGTATGATGTTCTTGATGTCATCCCACAACTCTTCTGGTCTTTGGTCTTTAGTGTTTAATATATCATCTGATCTTCAGATGATCTCTAAATTCAGGTGGGATACATTCAAGGTCGTATTTTGGCTCTCGTGGACTTGTTTTCATTTTCTTCAGCTTCAGTTTGAATTTACATATGAGCAATTGATGATCTGTTCCACAGTCTGCTCCTGGCCTTGTTTTCACTGATGATATGGAATGTTTCCATAGTCTTCTTTCCACAGATGTAGTCAATTTGATTTCTGTGTCTTCCATCTGGTGAGGTCCATATGTGTCTAACGCAGGTATTTGAAATGAACAAGTCATTGGTTTTGCAGAATTCTATCATGCGATCTCCAGCATCATTTCTATCACCAAAGCCATGTTTTCCAACTATTGATCCTTTTTCTTTGTTCCCAACCTTTGCATTCCAATCACCAGTAATGATCAATACATCTTGATTGCATGTTTGATCAATTTCATATTGAAGAAGTTAGTAGAATTCTTCTGTTTAATCCTTACTGGATTTAGTGTTTGGTGTGTACATTTGAATCATAGTGGTATTAACTGGGCTTCCCTGTAGGCGCATGGATATTATCCTATCACAGACAGCATTGTACCTCATGACTGATCTGGATATGTTCTTTT